AAGAGAGAGGGATCAGAGATCCGATCAGCTGCTGAGTTTGAGGGAGACACACAGCTCTACATGATCACCTGAAGCCTGACTGCCTCTGACGGTCTCTGACTGCCAAAATCGGGTTGGTGTGTCAGGGGCTTTAGACTGCTGCAGTGCTCACATGAACCAAAACAGAAAATAAGTGGCGGGGACTAGTGTTGCACTTTGCACAGATACTAGAAAGGTATCGCTATACCCTGCCGTTAAAAACGTTATGATTCCTCCATTTAATTAGAATCGGTACTTTAACCTGTTAAGAATGACATTGTTTTAATAAGAGCAGTATTTCCTGATTGTGTTCAGTGCTCTGCCTCCACTCCCTGCAGCCGATGTCAGCCGCTCTAAGCTCCTTGTTTGAGATGATGCTGCTACTTTAGTTCATACGTATTCTTGTGTTAAACTTTCCTGTTGGCTCCCAGACCGTAGACGATGAAAACAAGGGATGCCTCTCTGCAGTCTACCAGGGCCGAAGCAACAAACTTTGGGTTTAATAACCCACTTTTCAATAAGGCAGACAGGTGAGCTCTTCTTTGGGAGCCCGTTGCACTTATTAAGGTCTTTGTTACAGATCTAACTTTGAAGACACTCGACAGACCTATTTTGCTGCTGCTTCGTTCACTTCAAAACACTCTCGCTCTCTCTACAATGCACACACACACATGCGCGCCACCCCACCCCACCCCACATTTATGCTTAAACTTGCTTGAAAATTACAACAAAAAAAAAAAAAAGTGAAACAGGATTTGATATGTTTTACGAGACATAAGGGCAGGAATTCAGAGGGAAAGGAGCAATTTTTAGCTCTGCTCTTAAAAACGGCTTTTTTGTAAGGTCATACGTCATATTACATCACAAAGGGGACACATCTCCGCTCTCTGACCGCGGGAATAGTTAGTAGTTGCGTTGAGCAGTTGTGTTTAGCGGTTGTGTTTTAGTGAGCTGGTATTTTTCGGTAGTTTTACATTGTATTTCACCATTTGTAATCATGGTGCAGTATTGTGTTTGTGCAGGTTGCACAAATACCAGCCTGTCAGGACATCAAGTCCACTATTTCCCTAACAGGAAAAGAAAGCTAGCTAGCTTCCGGTCCTGGGTTCGTTTTGTGCAGACAAAGAGACGGGACTTCAATGCTGCGTCTGTGACGAAAAACGCGGTCGTTTGTGGCACTCATTTTCGACCGGAGGATTATGAGTCAAGTGATGTGCCGCGTTTTTCGTCACAGACGCAGCATTGAAGTCCCGTCTCTTTGTCTGCNAAACGGGGGCTAGATCTAAAGAAGAAGAAAAACTTCAACTTCTTCAACAGTCCAGGAAGGACAGTCCAACCTGCCCTGCGTGACTGCCTGGGGGGGTTTTGCGTTTTAAGAAGCGCGAAAGAAGCTGCTTATGTGTTCAGTGGGTTTAGTCGCAATTTTTTCGCCCTCGCGCGGCTTTCGGGGGCGTGATTAAACGTAGTGACCACACTTCCTCGTTGGGTTTTCACAAAATGACACGTCGAATTTCCCTTGAAGTGACTATAAAGGTGGTAGTTGTACAATTTCAACAGGCGCGCTATCAAGGTGAACGGGACACCACGATTTTTTTGGAAGAACGACAATGAGATTCCATTGATATCATATTTATCCAATCCTTTATCAAAATTTGCGCAAAGGGTAAAAGTTCCAACATTACATTTTTTATTCTTGAAGATATTATTCCGGACGAGTTTCAAGTCGATCGCACTCCCTATGCTACCGTAGTTGGGATAATAATCACACATTTTTATGGTGTATGTTGGCCAAGTCCCGAAGGTATCGACTGTCACGTTGTCCTGCTAAATCACTGAATTCTCTCTGTTGTTAAGCATCAGACGGGAGGTCACTTTCGAAGTAAGACAGTCGCAGGAGTTTTATGAGACACTCTCTTAGGTTGCACAAGGAGACCGTCGAAGAGTACTGCGTACGAGGCGAGTCCGAGTTGACCATGTGTCACTGTGTGAACATAATATTTACCATTGGTACAGTTTGATTTAACCTACAATCTCTTACTCTATCTTGGAGCCAAATGGAAAAGGTAGGAATAACGCACGAGTCCACTCTCGCAAAGAGGAGGTAATATCGTGGTAGTTGGGACAAAAGTTTGGTGGACACTGTGTTTGTCTACTCCAGTCTGCGTTGGTGTTCGGGTGAGTCGTCCAAAGTCAGTAGTAGTGTGAAGACAAATAGATCACTACCATTTCGCATTGTTTCATGTAAATTGAGTTCAGTGACATGACTCATGTTGAACGAGCTCCGAGGCAAAATGGACTCCATAAAGTTAACAACAAGATGAAACCATGAAAAGGTGGGTTGATGTCAAGTCTCCATTCTACCACATGAAAAACTAGGTTATTGTACATAGAATTAGGGAAAATCAATGAAATGCTAGACCTACTTACTACACTTTATAATTAGTTCACAACTTTAGTCTGAAATCAAGGTAGACGCCCTCATTTAGGTGGTTCATGGACGGTCATATCGTTTCAGTAAGTTTTGAATCGACGTGGCAAATCGTCGAAACTCTTGTGACCAAGTAACTAGTTAGTAATATTTTGTATAGTATATATAATAACGACTTTACCTGGTTAACGTGTTACTGATGAAAGCGAAACCATCAAATTCATATAAAACTGCGGTTATGAAAACATAACTCTTGTAAAACTTATGTCCTGACAACATGACACACTTGTCTCCTCAGGATGGTGACGGAGGAAGGAAAATGAGTTCATGTTCTGAGACTAAATGAAGAGGGTGTAGAAGAAGTCAGTCAGTAGAAAAATGAAAGTCGGTAAACTGGAACATCCCAAAAATCGGCAGGTGAAACTATGTCGAATTGAAGTTTATATAGAAAAGACGGGTATGAAGACAGGGGAGTGAGACTACTGCGTCACTTTGTCAATTTCACACATTGAACACTTTCTCAGGACGTCGTCGTGAGTGAAACACAACTCCAACTGTTGTCCTACCGTCTCACACACAACATTTGCCTCGTGGGAGTCGACCTCTGGTACGGAGGACTCGACTTGGTATAGTTTATTTGTCAATTGACAACACAATCTCTCTATACTGGCGTGCCGTCCCTCAATGGCGAATTGACCAACTACAAAGATATTGCCATCCTTCTTACACAGTCCCAGCACGGTGAAACTCCTCGTTAAAATTATAATGGTTCAAATGTGTCTTTATCTATGTTTTATATCCTTTTCTGGTGTTTCTATTTTCGTAAAATTGCAATTCTATCTTTTTGGTTTTCGTACAAGTGTCGTCTCATTTTTTAAGTACCTTATTATGAACAAACAACGAGTTGCATACACCTCATAGGAGTCAGTAAGCCAAACACAAAACGACATTAGCTACGTATTGCTTTTTCAATTGTTTCATTGTCCAGTGTAGACATAGACCCTATTCACGAATTATGGCAAAACTTTTACACACAACAACACACACACACACACACACACACACACACACACACACACACACCACACACACACACCATCAGAAATTATTATTTGTACTAGGCGACCATCTTATCGGTGTCTGTCTTCAGCATAGTGGTTAAATAGGACCCGCTAGTGTCGAGGTGTTTCGACTTTAAAGAGGTTCCGACGAAAGTTTGACACTCATTTGATGCCACACGAAAAGTGAAACATCCGACAGACCACAGTGGCGATCTGTTGTTATTAGCATCTGGTTAGCTAGCTATGCTAACGAATTTAAAGAGCTTTTCTACAACCAGGTGGAAGAGAGCTCTCTCCTGAGAGGCTCAAATAACCTCAGCTCAGTGAGGTTAAGGCACACCTTGATATGATCATTATAGTTATTAATGAGACATTAGAGACTCAATTATTAACAGGTATAAAATACTATATGACAGTAACAAAAAAAAGTTGTTAAAAATAACAAGAATAGAGTTTGAAAGGGGAGTGATTTGTAAAATATCCAAAAAGAAAAATCTGTCATTGTCAGATGGTATATTACGCTGTTTTTTTCTGCTTCGAATAGTTCTCTCTTTTTTCACCATACCTGTGTTTGCATCACTGCTCTTTAATGGTCACACACACAGAGCACACACAGTGACATGTGTTCTCTGCTTTTAACCCATCCTAGTACCAGGAGTCTAGCACCAGGAGCAGTGGGCAGATATTGTACAGCGCCCGGGGAGTGAGGGGGGAAGGGGGGTGTCTGGTGCCTTGCTCAAGGACAGGGTGAACTGGGACCTCTCCAAGCAGTCCACACTCTATATTTTAGGTCTGGTCGGGGACTTGAACCGGCAACCCTACTGACTGAGCCACTGCCGGACAAAAGTTTCTCTGCATTTGACCCATCCTAGTGTTAGGAGCCATTATGTACGGCGCCCGGGGAGCAGTGTAGGGAACGGTGCCTTGCTCAGGGACACCTCGGTAGCACTTGGTCTTGCCGGGACTTGATCTGGTGACCTTCCAGTTGCCAAGCCAAGTCCCGATGGACTTCGCCACCACCGCCCACCAAAGATGAATACATCTTTAGATCTGTGACAAAGTTTAAACATTTATTTAAGTGCATTTTGTGGTAACAGAGCCTGAGAGTAAATACTTTATGCTCCTGGTTTTGTTTCGTTATTATGTACATAGTTTACATAATTTAGAATATTTAAATATGTTTCTCTCGTTCCAATTCTTATGTCTGAACAGAATTAATGGTGTACTTTGTTATATTATCATTATATCATGGAATAAAATGGTCTTAAAATAACAAAACCCATGCTCCACAGGATTAGTTGTCATGGTTACTTTAGTAGATAATTCAGATTTCAGACAAACCCCATCAAGCGTATTTCTTCCTGTGACAAAGACACTGGTGCCTCTTACTACAGAGATCAAACATGTTGAAATGTTATTTTTCCGTCGGCTTCGCAGCATCGGTCATCGCCAGAGCAAAAATAGAAATCTACTTGATGCTTTTAAACCAACATGTTCTGTAGCAGATTGCTTGCCAATTCCTTTCCAGCATGATAACTGATTTGTTGCAGGTGAAAAGGGGAGATGAGAGACAGGAGGAAGGCTTCGCTGCTGGACCACCTGAACTCTCCTGCAGACGACTGCTCTGTGCAGCAGGACAGGTAACCCTCTGCTCTGTGCAGCAGGACAGGTAACCCTCTGCTCTGAGCAGCAGGACAGGTAACCCTCTGCTCTGAGCAGCAGGACAGGTAACCCTCTGCTCTGAGCAGCAGGACAGGTAACCCTCTGCTCTGAGCAGCAGGACAGGTAACCCTCTGCTCTGAGCAGCAGGACAGGTAACCCTCTGCTCTGTGCAGCAGGACAGGTAACCCTCTGCTCTGTGCAGCAGGACAGGTAACCCTCTGCTCTGTGCAGCAGGACAGGTAACCCTCTGCTCTGTGTCACAGCTTCTGATACAGTTGGACTCAGCGACTCCCCTGGTTGGGCAAGCTGTTTTCAAATAGATCTTTCTATCATCACTAGATTAATGATCACTCATTTCATGTTGACAGCCCTCCATCTTGAGTGAGCCCTGTGACAGCATTCATTTCTCTATGACAAACCCTGTGGGGGGAGGGGGTGATGGATGTCTTGAAATGTAACAGATTTGCAAGCCTGTGTCAAACGATCTAAATACACTATTATTGTAATTTCTGTCAAAATCTGAAACTTAGCTTGATGCAGCTCTCCTGAGTCATAACACATCTAATTCATATCAAAGGAAAACCACTTCCATTGAGCTTACATGAAGGACATGCTATATTTATTTGTACAGTAGTCAATCCTGCTTTAACACACTTTGATGTTTCTGTAGCTCAGACATCTAAACACATTTTATTTTTTAACCTGCTACAAAAAAACAGTTCATGCCACGTCCATTTTATTTGCCTGTTGTGGGAGAAATGTTAATTTACGATGCAAGCATTTCATTTTAAAGACAATGTTGTGCCAATATCATCGTGGAGCCACCGTGTAAATACTCAGGGTGTCCGCGGGGTCTTAGAAAGTATTAAAGTTGATAAATCAATTTAGTGAAAATGAAGGCTATTAAAAAGTATTAAACGGCATTTTCCAAGGTATTCCATTTTGTAGCTTGTTTTCAATAAGTATATCAATGGTCCAAAGAGGTTGTATTCTACAGTCTGCCTGAATGTAATCATTGCGTAGGTGTTTAGTGTGATTCTGTGTAGTTTATTTATGGCATCCCGTTGGGTTTGACGTCATCTGAACAGGACATCGCACGCTCACTGCTTGATAGCCGCGAAGGTCCGTTTACCCCGGTTGTTAATCAACATCGATATGGGGAAATGCAAGTCTGCGTCCAAATGGTTGGAAGATAAGGAGGAAGGACAATCAATACTGTGTATAGTCAATGTGAGGTGAAGTGTGTCGCCAAGGTAACCGGTTAGAACTCAAAGTGGCGATGAGGTCTTAAAAAAGGTCTTACATTTGACTTCAGGATTCCTGCATATACCCTGATACTGTACATCTGACTTTCTCGTTAACCACTGAGACCTCATGGAACTTCCCTTTTTATGTAAATGCCAAATGAAAGTTAATAAATGTGTGTGTACCCTCCCCAGGCCAGCGAGGGAGCCCCGTCCTTCCAGTTCTTCTGCAGCTTTCAGTGGGATCTGAGGAGACGAGCCCTCAGTCTTTTCCAGCAGGCGGCCCGCAAGGTGCACTCACATCCCAGCACATGTGTAAAATGCACACATGCATATTCATTGGCTTTAATGCACAGACGGGTCACACGCCAACACACTTCCCTCTTCCCTCAGGGGGGGGCTGCTGTCCCTGCACCCCTGTCCCTTTAGGTCAACCATGTGTAAATTCCTCCCACTAAATGCATACAATTATTTACGGTAAATTCAACTCTCCTGGGAACATCTGACATGGCCTCAGGACAAGCATAGAAATAAAGCTCTTTTTTTTATCGTGGAGAATTTAGTTTTTGCTAATTTTGTGTTTCTTCTTTGCATTTTATCAGGGCAACGAGGGTTCACTGTCCTCTTGTTGTTTGTGTGTCACTGAGTTTGATTTATTATACTTATTTAAAGCAATAACACCCTGAACTCTTCTCTACCTTTCAGACGGTGATTCGGTGCCGCATGGACCGGAGACTGGCCTGTTTGAAGAAACTCTGCAGAACGATGAAGAACTCGCCCTTGGCAAAGAAAGGTTTTGATTATCCTCTAATCTCCTCATTCAGAAGTAATCTCATTAAGCCATGTCACAAAAGCATTTCTTAATTGAATTCATTCCTGCAGGAAAAATGGAGATCTCCTCTGGTTATTATGAGCTTTTTAGAACACCCAGTTCATGCAGGGCCAAAGGGACGGGGCTATTTATGGAGCTGAGGACATTTACGTTACATTTGTCACTGACCATAACGATCAGAAGAATTCAATTACGACCTGTTTGTTGTTTTTCAGTCGAGGAGGACAGGACGTTTGATCTGGAGATCTCACCCGACAGGATCTTTCCCTTTTCTTTCCCCGTTTTCTCTGCATTGGTGAGTTCATTATATATCTGAAATCTATAAAACAATGACGTCCTTCCTGCAGATTACAGGTTGTTAGTTCTGTTTAAAATATACTTAACTGTCAAAACAAAAGCTTAAACCACTTCTTTGCAAATTGCTCTGTCTTGTTAAAGCTATTGAAATAAAATACTAAATGACCTTAATGGGTTCTGACATATGGAAGAATGAGACTCCCTGAAAAGTGCGTGGTCTAGTGCGTTGGTGTTGGGATCAGGGGGGCACAGGTTCAACCCCCACTGCAGTCAGCATGTCGTTGTGTCCCGGAGACATTGCTCCTGTGGGGACTGCCCACAGTATTGAGTATGTAAGTGGCTTTGGATAGAAGCGTCTAGCAAGTGCGGTCTGGCAATCGTCCTTCACGAGAAACCATTTGTATTCATTATTTCCCTTGAAAGATGTCTTTGATCTCGATGTGGAATCAGAAAGGAAGCTCAGTGTCCCGCACTTTTGATAACGTCTCTAATTTCCCCGATGCCCCGGGGAGATAAGGCCTCACTGCTCAATCGAACAAATAATGCCATTTGTCTCCTTGATGTTTCCAGGCTCCCAGTAATCGGGTCGAAGTGCCCGTGGATCCCATCGATGTGACTGTGACGACACATGTTCCTTTCTTCAAGCTTCAGGTCTGTGTTTACTGCAGATATGTACCCAGCAGCAGCGGGGAGGGGAGGGAGGGGAGGGGGGGAACTACCTAAATACCTGTATTTTAATAATTAAAAAAACCTGATTTAGTATCAACCATATTATTAATTTGGTTTTGTTTGTTTCTACAGGTTCCACAGCACTATAAGCTCATGGGCTACAGACCCGTGTCAGTCTGGGAGGCGTTTAACTCGTACATCCCAACCTCTCTGTCCAGACCACTTCGCACTGCGGTAAATCTGCAGCACCTGGACCAAAACATGCTGACTCCACCATATTAGAGAAAGTTTGATTTATTTCTTCACTCATCTACCTAGAATGAGCCGGTGCCCAATGAGGCTGTGGAGGCATGGGGGGATCAGCAGAAGGATGAGGCAGAGGAGGCTGTCTGTCTCTCCTTCAGCGCCCCTGAAGCTCTGCTCACACCTTTTCCAGCAAACCCACTCAGAATCTTTGTAAGACCATGAATCTTTAATATGCATCTGCTCAAAAATATCTAAAAATGAAATGGCCCCTCTTTCTGTTGTTTACAATTTACATGTATTCTGGTTAGGAGACCCCTAATCAAATACTTACATATTGTGTGTTCAACCCAGAGACTGAAATAGGATATCAATACTTAATGTGATATGTGTTTGTGTTGTAGAACCCAGCTCCAGGCCTGCAGGCGTACAAACCCACCCCCAAATACCTGGAGACTGACCTGGAGTTCCACCTCTGCCCTCTGCGCAGGTAACACTCAGTGAATACATGTGTACGGTGTTATCCTAGTGAGTTAAAGTGGACCTATCATACTATAATCGAACGATATGTTGTTCAAATATAGCATGATACAGTAGGTCCACTTTAAAGTAAGCAGGTGTTCTTTGACATTTAGCTATAGATTGTTCCCGCTCACTCGGAAAGTGCTTTCTGTGTTTAGGTATCCCATCCCTGAGAGCAGCAGGTGTGGCAGAGGGACGCAAACCCCAAACACTCAGAAGAAGCATCTGGACCGCAAGGTCATTTCTTTGAGAGACTTATGAACAACACTTTAGCTGCACACATTAAGGGAGGCATTCACTAACGAGATATGTGTCTTAAAGGAAGTTGAAGAACATTTAATTTGATTAAAAAACCTCAAACTAGAAATGAAAGAAAACAGGACATTAGATACATCTCTTGTTTAACTGATCCTAATGAGGCTAATCTTTTCCTATCCCACAACAGGAAGGGCTCGCTGGCTTCATGACATGGAAGGATTTAGATTCGATCACCTCCAAGTTTCTGTCCAGCCATCCGTCTCCCAGCAGTGACTTCGCCCATCGCAGGTAGGACAGAACGTATTCTCTTGTTTCTCTTCACACTCACAGAACCACCCAGAACTCACCACGAGGTACTTCCCACATAAACTTGAGAAGCTCTCAGGCAATTGTGGGATGAAAACGTCCTCGTAAATGTTTACAGAACTTGTTTACAGAGTAGAGAGGGGCTGTGTTTCACTTCTGCTGTACGTATATTTTCAGTCAGTGGAAGAATTTGAACTCATGACCTTGTGGTCGCATGACTTCACTGTACTGAAGCTCTGGGTGCATCTCACTGATGAATATATGTGATTTTTAAAGTTGCCTCATTGTTTTTACGCTCCATGAGAACGTGCATTCATGAGGGATTGCAGTCGAAAGTGAGCAATAACTTCACTGTACTGGAAGTTCCTTTGAAAAAGTTTGAATTGAATGCTAAGTGAGCTCACCCGTTTCTTTCCTGTTGCATCAATAAATGAGCTCTTGATCCACAGCTGGTTTCTGTAGATCTTCTGAGACCTTTTACAAGCCGCTTACATGTGAATGATTTGTAAGACATAGGATCATGTTGCTGGTTTAACAAGTGGTCACTTATACTGTAGTAGACGTTTATATTCATAGAGTAAATATTTATCCTGACAAATTGCCAAGAGGCTTGTGTATTAATATTTAATGTGTTGGCATGCCATTCATCACGCAGTATTACGTAGAGATGACTTCCTGCAGTCTTGTAGTGTTTTGCGCTCATGGCAGTTATCGTTTAGCATTTCAAGCATTGGTTCTGACTCGACAGCTTTCTTTGATTTTTTTACTTGAAATATATCTTCATTTGCTCTTTAGTTCTCCTTTTGTGAAATATCCCATACAGTTGTAGAAATCTCTTGAGTGTTGAAGTTATTTTCTCACTCGACTCTCTGATTTTATAATTCTCACTTGATTGCCAATGTCCACATTTCAGTAGTTTAGGATTGAAGCCATGTGCGTTGACTCTACTGCAGTGATCAGTTCTACTTAAAGGTGGGGTAGGTAAGTTTGAGAAACCGGCTCGAGATAAACTTGTTGTTATATTCCATGGAATGCTCTTAACATCCCGATAGCAATGAATATCTGAAGTGCTTTGACAAAAAATCCATTAAAACATTTTATCTGAGCCGTAGCGCTGTAAAAAGCACGACCAATCATCTGAGCCGGGTGTGTTGGAGGAGGGGCTCTGTGAGGAAGTGGCAGATTTCTTCCAGCTGTGTATTTTCAAATTCTAGCGCACTCGAGCTGGTTTCTCAAAAATGACCTACGCCACCTTTAAGTTATATGGAAATAAGAATTGAAAGCTTGTGCTATAAACTCTCTCCTTGCCTTCTTGCCGGCAGTACTGCTGAACACCTACAGTGAAATGCTTACAGAATCTAGGTCATATGTAGGCAGACTGTCTTCACACTGTGAGATGATGACTTATTCAGTCGTTAACCTAAATGGACGGTGAATAAATGATGATATTTTGATGTGAAGTATTACTGAATGCTGCATGGTATCGTCCCGTGTGGCCTCCTGTATGAGTCTCTTCGCACTCTGTCACATCGAGTAGCACTCAGCTATGCAAAACTCTGTCTCTGACCCTTTTCCAGGAAATCTTGTCATGTACATTGCAATTTCTCTTGCATGATAGAGATCCAGCGTTGCAGAGCTAATGTTTCTTGCAAGTTGTGAAACACTTCAAGTCTTTATTTGACATGACGCCTAAGTAATTTGGGCAGGTGCTGTTCACATGATGTTCTTGTGAAAGCGTGGAGTTGGATCTGACTTTTCTGTCTGCTTCCTTTTTTTACCCGCCTTCGTTGTGTTGCAAAATCTGTTCCTTGGCAAACATAAGTATTCTCTCTCTGCCTGTCAGCACTGATCCACAGTAAAACTCTAGATGTATTATTCTTTCATTATACGAAAGATGATCCCCTAAGCCTCCTTTCTCAACCTTATCAATTTTCTATCTCCGAGTCTGCGGTTGCTAACAGTCTGTCCCGTTATCCAACAAACACAAACAATACGATTTAAGCCAGGAGGCTGTAATAGAAATGAGAGTATGTCTCTTACAAATGTGTGAATAATTCAAAGGATTCTGCTGTAGCTCAAGCACACTTTAAAACTTTCTGGGGACATGCAGTCTGCATATTTATCAGCAAGACTCGGTTCAAAACGTACATCCCCGGCCTCAAAGTGGTCAAACAAATCAGTTTCTGCAGGTTTAAAAATGACTCGTGGAAGAAGAAATACTGCTAAATGAATTATCTGAATCTGTGGAGTAACTTACTTAAGTACTTAAAAATGGTAACAGTACTTAAGTAATTGTACTTAAGTTGTACCAAGTTAAAGCAGTTTCACTTGGCAGCAGTGGTTGTTTAATAATGTCTCAAAATGTCTCCGTCCACCTTAAACTCCAAACTGTGTTCACATGCCCTCACATAATGACGTTTGTGCTGAAAGCCCGGCGGCGCGTCCAAAAGCAAACCTGTGGCTTGTCAGGGTTTTAATTCTGTTTTCTGCCCGTAAGAGGCATCAACTTTCACTCGGGAGATCCTTTATCATTCCTGTTCAAACTGCGATTTCAAACAACCCGAAGCGGTGCTTTCATCTCAGTAAGATGGAGTAGATATCTGACCATTATCTCGATTCGGTAATATGTGGTCTGGCTCTTCAGGGGAAACGCAATGTGTGTGTCCTCTGTAGGTCTGTGGACTGCAGCACAGATACACTTCCCCTCAAAACACCTCCTCTCCGCGGCCCTCCTGATGATCTGCCTCCACTAATGGACCCGCCGTAAGTACATGCACTATTGACACCTATTGGTCTCCTTGATGGAAGCTGTTTCTGGTCAAGATGGCTGCTTTCATGCTCAGATTCTGTGTTTTTTCCATCCCTGCTCAGGTGTGAAGGCGTCCAGCTAACAACGGAGATAATCAGAGCGCAGTTCTTGTCGGAGCAAGCTCTGGTCTCCAATAGCAACCTCAGTAAAGGCACAGCAGCCAGGTGAGTCTACAGGGACGCTGTGTGTGTTACAGAGAAAGAGATCACTCATGCAATCACACTTAGAGAGAAGACCTGGGAGGGAAATAATCTGCTGATACATTTACTGAATTAGCCCCTAATTATGCTCAAGGCTTAATATGGTTATAAAGAGACCAACATATTTCTGTATCAGGCTGTAAACATGTTAATTGATCTTATAATGTTTGGAGTTTAAAGATGGTTGGGTCTACAGTAAACGATACATATTATCCTGGTTGTCTCAGCTGTTCGTTATTCATAAACACAGAAGAGAAAACAATTTTGATCTCAGAAAATGAATGATCAGATTTAGTTTATCCGCTCGCTTCCCTTTCACGCCTCTAGGGATATAATACATAACATTTCAAGGGAATCTTTCGCCTATTTTGACAAATGTATCCACCATTGTGCTCGGATGATTTCCATTTGAAACAGAAATGTAGATTTTCTTAAATGTTCTTCCATTTGAATGCCTCATTATGGTGCATGCTGGATCTGGCTCTAGTTTACCAATCGTTCCTTTGAACCAGTTCTCCTTCTCTTCTACACTAAAGTGAAATGTCTCTGTCACAGGCACCAGAGGGAGATTCAGACGGAGGCGACCCACAGCTCTCAGTTCAACCAGATGGGAGGAAGAGTGATGAGCCGGCTGAAGCAACTTGAAGTCACTGATGCAGCTTCAGGGGAGCACTGAGAATAGGCTCACCTCCAAATGCACATAGTCAAATAAACAAATAAACACTATCACATGTATTGTATAACTGTAGGAGACTGTACACTGTTTCCCCTGCCACTGCTGTTAAATAAAACCTGGTTACTCTCACCCACGCTTAAACCTCTCTCCCACCTACTCAAAATGTCCAGTAAGCTCTCCTCCTGTGCTTTTACAAAAGCCTGGGAATTCGTTATCCCTACACCCACACACCTCCATAATAAGCACAGCTACAGTATATCTAACAAGCTGCATCACATCACTGCATTCAGTTAAAAAAGTACATTTCTTCGCTGTAGTTCATGGAGTACTGTATGTCCAATGCTTATTAATGATAAATTATCATATTGGAGAAAAACAAATATGAGTGAGACTTTTATTTATGCATTGAAGAACCTTCACATTCACTTTCCACTGCTTTGACATTATGGTTTTCAAGAATATTTACAAGTCTAACTGTTGTCCTCTGGGTACAAAAAGCAACACTGGGTCTTAACATTGATTTGTATTCACCTCTAATTTGTGTAACCACTTGCTGATTTGTCACCAGTCAAGGACTTGGCATTGTTTCTACATTTATCAGCGTTATCATTTAAAAGTTCATATTTATGTGGCGGTAAAAAGAAAGCTGCTCAGGTCAGAATTTAATTATGAAAAGTGCTGACATACTGTTTACTCAGTACTACTTACTTTGATGAGTCCAGTGTGTCTACTGTCCGCTAGAGGGAGCTCTAACTCTGTGATTTGACACTTTATTTTACATGCATTTGTCCTCCAGTGAGTGTGTGTACTTAGTGCTTTAGACAAATACAGTAAAGGAACCTTGCTTATTTGAACACAGTCACATTTCACACGCTTTTTACTATAAGGTCACATTGTTCAGACATGGGGTTGGATCCACACAGATACTAACGCCCATAGCCATATACTAACGCCCATAGCCACATACTAACGCCCATAGCCAGATACTAACGCCTATAGCCAAAGTACTTCCCCATCGGAGCGCACTGACGAGAGGGCGGGTTTAAAGGACAAAACTCACTTTCACAGAAGCTTAAAAATTAAAATCCATCGAGAAAAGGAATTCTATTATAAACGTAATCACATTTTGACGCATTAGTACAGGTTGAGACCTGAAATACACAGGGAATTAACATTATAAATACATATTTAATTAAAGCCACAGCAATGATATGGATTGAATTAGTAATAGACAGTGTAATAATAGTAACAGGAATGTGTGTGTGAGGAGACAGAGGGAGGAGGAGGAGGTACAGTACATCAGCCCACAGTCATTTTGTATAATTCATCCAACCAGCACTCAGTATCTATCATTTCCTGTAGTCCCTATTACAGTTCACCTTAAAGCTCTCACACCATTAATGTGCATTATTTTCTCCATTATCATTGAGAAATAATAATGAACCCATGAAAAGCTGTTTAGCTGTTCAGGCCATTTATCCGTCACCCAGTTCCCATGTTTCACCCCAAAGTCTCTGACATCTTGAAAAATATAAAAAATACAACGAAAAGAAAAAGCAATCTGCTTCTACTGCCGTCTCTATTTACAACTCAAACCTACAGCAACTTTTAACGGCTTCTTTTATTCCCATTTCCCTTCTTTAAATACAATCTTTCCCCGGCTCATACTCATGGTCGGACCTTCAATGAATTACTCCCTAAAACTGCCTGGGAGAGAAATGGTGTCGGAGCAATCGCCCCTCAGAGATACTACGTCCTCCCATCGACTGCCAACCGAGGAACTTCTGTCCAAAGCTGAAATATCTGTAGTCCAACATCGAACAAAGTCTTTAGCTTAGTTCATGTTCGAAGGCTTGCTTTGTTTAGCCTTTGAATATAAAGCATTAACTCTTGAGACCTTGTTTTCATGTTGTTTAAAAAATTGATGACTGTGAGCTCGACCAAAGAGAGAAAGGGAAGGACTGAAATGTCGAGGTGACACCAAATCCCCTCAGCCTTACCGCCATGTGAACTATAAACAACTTTCTCAGAGTAATAGCCCTGACATCATCCCAGGCTTCAGCTGAGGGTCGTGCAAATCTGCTATACGCCGTATATTTGACGATAGAGACGAGTAATGGCGGTGGCAGTGGCAAGGTGCCCTGAACCATTGAAAGCCCGCCTTAATTAACCAATGGCACGCTTCTACATCTGCGGAAATTGGGTGCATTTGAGTGAGAGGTCTGCACAACACAGACAGTCCTTGAGTCGCCCTCTCCAGCGGACTTCTGATGGAAGCAGATCAGAGAAACTTAAACTCTGGTCATGCAATTTTACATCTACTGAAAATCAAAGGTGTTCAGTGGATTGCTTTTAGATACAAATCACCTCATTCAAAAGCTTCCTCGAGGCTCCATTTGCAGATACTAGATGGTGTTATATCTGTTGGATGGATAAAAGAATATTCGTTCAACCAATGAAGATCATTTGTTCTTTTTTTGCACGCTGTTGGATTTTATTCTCCACTATCACATTTTAAAGAGGCCTTTTTTGGGTTTTCTCTTTCCTGTAGTGTATTATTTAGGTTTGTGTGCATGTCAACGGTCTGCAAAGGCTACAATCCTAAAGTCACCTCCATAGGGAGTTTCTCAACAAGGCATTTTAAGTGAATTTGTTTTGAATTCACCATTTGGCCCAGTTATTTACTTAGCTTGTTTTCTTTACCGTTTTCACACAGAATGTGAACAGGCTTTTAGCTTTTCACTTATCAGACACCTATCACTCGCACTCTTGTTATTGAAGTGCTGAAAAGGCCAAAGTTGTTTGTAATAGAAAGAAAGAAGGAATAGAAATCACCGGGGTGAGCTATATGCAGTGGCTTTGGTTTCTTTGTTTGACGCACTTTCGCTTGAGGTATGAGTTGAATGAAAGTAAAAATGTGAATTACTTTCTGCTGACTTGTCCGCAGGCATTTAGTGCAAATGTCATAAATTGGTTTTCTTTCTACAACCATTCGTGATTCTTTATAATCATCTTGTTCGAACATCTGAAATTCTACTTTTGCTTATTACTCCATCATAATTGAATCCCATGCTATACTTAAATTGCTCTTAATGACCCTCATGTCTTGTGTTTGCAGTGATAATGTCGTGTTTTGAAATGTCAGGGTTCTACCACATAGCCTGAAGCGATGCAACATTGCTTTAACGTGACTCATCTCCGAGCTGTGGCTGCTTAATGAAACTAGATTGTTAAATCAGCCGTGCTACAGTACAGTGTGTATTTGGGGCGAAACAGAGAACAAGTTCGAGTTAAAGGGGCCCCATGATGCTTTTTGGGGTTTCCTATTTCCTGTAGTGTGTTTATATACGGAGTTTAGAGTCTCAGTTAAAGATGGACGAGGACTTGTATTTGTTCGCTTCATCAAATCAAACAACATCACACTAATGTATTCGTTTACCTTCAGTAAAAGCACTATTTTCTTTCATACCTTATCTCACATGATTTATTCCCAATAACCTAAAACTGAGATGACAAAGGGTGTTTCTTTAGCTTAGCACATGTGAAAGTGGAGATGAGGGGAGAATCCAGCAGGCAGATGTCACAGAGCACTCATACTCTATTCTGAGAAGAAAGGCTACAAGTAGTCCGGGCACACTTAAGTACAGTTTTGTAACGAGGCTAAGGGTCTATTTACATGTCCATCTCTGTGCTAATGTCCTTGAGCTAGATTCTGCCTCATTAAATAATCAGGACTCATTCTATGTGCACATATTTAATTGAGCTTATGATAAAGGCTATGCTGATTTGAAAAGAGTTGTATTGCAAAGTAGAGACATTAGTAATACTTGATGGCCGTCTACCACGTGGCACTAAGAAGTACTTCCTATTTTTCTACCTTTATTCAACAGTGGTTTTGATTTGAAGGATCTGAAATATACTTCTAATCAATACCTAGAAATGCATTTCCTTAGATGCACGATCAGAGGATGTGAATGTGTGATTTCTGTTTGGTTAGATTGACGGTAAGCATAAAACGCTGTGCTTTTTATTTCCAGGTAGTGAGGGGTGTGCGCTGAAGCATTAAATAGGCCACCGACACAAAACAGGGACCACATTAATCCCCCTGACATTTCTCCAGACAGAAAAACAAATGTTTGTGTTTTGATGGGGGGGGGGGAAGCAAGCAAACAGCAAATAGCAAATAAGCCTTTTTCTATCAAGGCGACTGGGCAGGCCTCGGATGAGTTTTTTCTGAATGAAAAAAGAGACTGATACAGAGGCAGCAATTTATTTAAATGTCCCATGTCATGGCCATTTCCACTGATCATAATTCAATTGTTGAGTTCTACTAGAATAGATCTATATTGTGCAATTTTCCAAACTCACATTTGTTTCTCATACAGCACCTCTGTAAACTACGTGTATTCATTGAATTTCACTCTCTGCCTTTAACGGCTCGTTGTAGCTCCAGTAGCTCCAGCCCCCACCCTCCCTGTGAGCACAGTGTGCTCTGATTGGTCGGGACGTTGTGAATCGCGCTGAGCTCCGTGGAGGTGTGGTTTCCTTGTTTAGCGATACACAGCGAAACACAGCCAAACTCACCCTGAGCACACACAAAGTCACAGCCGAAGTAAAAACAATAAGTGTGGCTTGATATTGAGTAAGAAAAAGGTTGATAAACGCTGTGAGAATGGGTCTGCAGAGAGAATTTCGCCGCGATCCCAACTGTCTGTTATCAGCCTGCAGCCAGGGAGGAGAAATGCCTGCCTGCACTGTGAGGAAGTCCGTGGATTGGTCAATTTGGACCAATCAGCGGGGGCTTAACGTAACGGCTCCGCGGACCATTTCTTTCCGGGTACGGTTGACATCATGCGTACCCGGAAGAATCAAATGTACAATGACGTATCTCCAACGAGGCGTTTTGGGGAGGTATTTTCTGTGTTAGAGTTTTACTCGCTACAGGGTGTACTTTGAGGGTTTTGACTCTGCAGACCGTTTACATGCATAAAAACCTTCATAACACACAAGGGGACGGGTGATAACCAGAAAAGCATGACATGGGACCTTTAAGAATGTTCCTAATTCACTGAATTGAATTGAATACACATGAACTATTCTGGCCCTCTTAGTCAGAGTTACTAAGCATTCTGTATTCTTTGACCTCTGCTGTATCAGAAGAGTTATTTACGGTTGTTTTTCTCGGACGTGCCTTCTATTTTAAGGGAGAGCTTCAGGAGACGTTGGGGTCAAGACCCAAAACTGTGCTGCTGGCAGGCATGTGCAGGAGTTCCCGTTTCCTCATTAGAGAATGTCCTGTTCTCCTTTCTTCAGTACTCCTGTGAAATTGCGAGTTTGTCAAAGTATCTGCACCTTTTGCCCCTGA